TCCTCTGAGATGACAGGCCTCTGACTACCATATGGTAACAACTACATGGACCTTTAGCCTGATAGGTAGGCCTAGACACAGGAGAAAACAAGCTCTCTGGGCACTCTGTCCCTACCTCACCAGACACAGCCTTAGATGAATAGTGCCCACTTGCTGCTTTGACTCAGCCTGAGATGAGCAGTAATGACGAAGGGGTTTATGAGGAGATGATAAGCAGGCAGGAACTACATAAAGACTAGCAGTGAACATGAGGCCTACTCTCCTACTTGGAAGCTGGAGGCCCACCCTTTTAAAAGTGCACATTCTTGGCAAGTTCACAAATCACTGTTCACCAGAATTTGTACAGAAATGCCCTTCGGTAGTCTTCAAAGACGTGACTCTATGAGTATAAGCCTTCAGACAACTGTGTTTGCAGGCCCACTTTCACATGCCACCTGGGATCGCTGGCCTCTCCTGCCCAGCAGAAAACTACCATGGTGATTCTCTGTGTGTGTCTGCTCATGAGCTCACATCTGTCTTTAATAACCCTAACTCCAGTGAATGGGCTTCATGAGGGTCAAGACTGCCATTTCTGTGTCCCTAGTCAAATCCCTAAGACACTGGCTGAGGTATCTGTGTAAGGAAAAGATAGAGGGCAATGGCCCAGGTGCAGGGCTGGGACCCAGGAACATTTGGCCCCACAGCTATGGAAGAGCCCCAGCCAGCAGAGGCAGCACTGAGGCCTGCAGGTAGGTATCCCACCACTATGAGGAAGGGCTCATTTGCCACAGCTGTGCCTCTATAGCTACCCATGAATCAAGCTTTCAGGGGTAGCTGTGGCCAGAGGCAGGGAGCAGGAAGACCAGGCACAGAGATGGTACCCCTGGATGGCAAGATAGAACAAGTATGACTTCCTGAAGATGTGGGTATGTTCAAGCCAGGTACATTTCCCCTCAAAGCCATCACCTCAGGTTTCCTCACAGTGTGTTCCCACATCCACACTGGCCACGGAATGCCTAGCTAGTCTGAGGCTGGGGATGCAGCTCAGCGGGAGAGCCCATGAGGTCACAGATTTAATCCCCAGCACCAAAGAGAAAACAGAAAGACACTCGTGTATGAGGGAAGGTGCAGTCATGGTAGCTAGTTAAACACCATCCCACACAGGGTTTGCACGGCTAACACATGGGGTGGGAGCTGCTGGCCCGAGGCCTGCCCTGTGGAATGGGATCTGTCCATCTTTACTAGGGAGGGATGATGAACGAGCACAGATAGACACTGGTCAGGACAAGCCACTTTATTTAAGAGCTCTGACAGCCCGAAGTGGTTTAACATAGATGCATGGAAGATTTATCTAGATGATAAAACACCCGCACTCAAAGGGCACATAAATTATGATTTTTCAGGTTTTATTTTTCCTTTACGAGGAACATTATACAGACTGAGCAGGTTATATTTAGGAATATATATATACATATATGCAAGTAACAGCAATTATTGAAAAAAAGAGGCCATGAATTTGAAAAAAGAACAAGGAGGGGCGAATGGGAGGGCTTAGAGGGGAGACAGGAAGGGAGAGATGATATAATTATAATCTCAAAAAGAAAAGAAAAACTATCCCATTGTCAAATATTTTAAGGAGTAAGAGAAATATACATGAGTTTCACCATGTGGCCTCGCTGTCTGAAGTGTGTCTGCTAGTAGAAAGGGCTGATTTGGAACTGAATTTGGAACTGAGGTCACACATCTGTGACCTTCATTTTCCTTGTGGTGGTGGTGATCTGTGGGAGGATTCATAAACGTAATATAATTCCAATAGCTACTACTGACTGAGGATTTTCCCACACCCCAGCTATGAACTTATCTTGCTTACTATGAGCTGGGTATGATTCCCATTTTGCAGATGCTAAGACTTCCATCATAGGCTGTGTTATCTGATTGGAAAACCATGGGGTTATCTATCCATGAGGCTGCCTCCTGTATGAAAAGGTTTAGCCCTCTGCAAATGTATAAACATGTTAGTTATTTTTCTCTGCTTTCACACCACACACACACACACACACACACACACACACACACACACACTTAAATGTTTTGGGGTTTATTTTCACTTGCTCATGCGCTCACCAGTTTGTATATTTTGAGCATGGCAGTGCAGAGGTTACAGTGCTCCTCAGCTCCCAGGCTACCTGGTGAAAGAGACCAGTCTCAGGGAGTCGTCATCAGCACACTACTGTAGTCACAAAGATAACAGAGGTCAGTTATGACAACAGGAGTCTCCTGCTGGGGACTCATCCAGTCATGAGTTAAAGACAAGCCCTGAAGGCAATTTTAGACCTAGTAACTAGTTTCTCCATTTTTTTTTTTTTCTTCTGTGTTTTTTCTGGCCCTCTCTTCTCTGACTCTTGGCCCTTTTGACAGTGTGTCTGTGCAGAGGTCCACTATCATACAGAACATGCCTCTCATTTGGAGGCTGGTGCTTTCGGGAGGAAACCCTTGACATAGATAACTCGCCCCCCACTAATCACCCTGCCCAGTTCCTCACTACCCTACCCGCCCTCTCCACTTCATCAGTGTCCACTGAGATAGGGAATGGGCAATACCAGTAGCATAGTAACTCCCTACACAGTGGGTGCTTCTCCAAGTGTTCTACTCAGAGCCCAGTGGTCTCTAGAGCGGGCACTATTCTTGTTTTAGTTAATTTGGAAACAGAAAGGGTAGGAAATTAGTATTTCTCCAGAGCAGAACAATGTGCCAAGAACCTACTAAGCCCACACAACCCTCACGACTCTGAGGATAAGCGACCTCTTCAGAGCAGTTACAAACCTGGGCAGTCGCACATCTATGGACACCACACTGAAGCCTCTCTTCCTGTCTTGGCCAGCATACTGCCATAGCCTGTGAGGAGGAACAAAGGGGCCGCCCCAGGGCTGCTCTTTCTCCTTTCCTTCCAACATCCTATTAACAACCCTCCTTTGACCACAAACCAGCAATGTGGGTTCTTCCCCTACGTGTGTTTCCCCATCTCTGGCTCCTCATGCTGTTCTCCTCTACATCAGTAGTGTGGACAAGACCACAGAAGACATCAGGATCATTGAAAGAATAAAATATACCAAGTCTCTTTCTTCATTAATTGCGGTTAATACATATATATGTATCATATATATAATGTGTATGTATATGTGTATGTATGTGCATATATGATACATATGTACTGTACAATACAGGTATACTATATATGTTTTATATATATAATACACATATATGTATTAACAATAATTAATAAAGAAAGAAGTATGAATTTGAGAGAGCAAGGAGGGATATACAGGAGGGTTTGGAGGGAGGAAAGGGGGAGATGATGTAACTATATTATAACCTTAAAAATATAAAAGTAATAATATAAATACACACATGTAAATACCAAGCAGCTGACAGGTGTTTCCTAAAGCACTCTCTCAAATCTGTGCTGGTCTCCAGTTCTGAGGGTCTTCAGCAAGGGACCAGCAGAGATCCTGCCTCTGGGGAATCTTCTGGCTGATTTTATTGAGCGACACCGAGGGCTGAAAGCTGCCTGTGAAGGAGTAGATGCTCGTGGGGCTGGCAAAATAAGGTAGAACTTGCTGGGAAATGTGTACCTAGACCAGCAGTTCTCAACCTATGGGTCACAATCCCTTTGGGGGATCACATAGATATCCTGCATAGCAAATATTTAAATTATAATTCATAACAGGAGTAAAATTACAGTTAAGAAGTAGCAATGAAATACTTTTATGACTGGAGGCCACTGCATGAGGAACTGTATTAAAGGGTTGGAGCATCAGGAAGCTTGAGAAGGACTGACCTAAATGGAAGCAAGGCAGCTTTCGTCACCAGGCTCAGGGTCAGCATGGCAAGCGGCCAACCCTGCACAGGATCCAGGAGAGCAGGTCTTGGATCTGGCTTCTCTGAACCCTTAGTGTCCAGGAAAAGGCATAAGCCGAGTGTTTTCCAAAAAGTGGTTGAACCAGTCCTCAACCTAGAGAACAGGCTGGATTGTGAGACTGCTGAGACGTCAGAGGGGAGGACACTAGGAAAGAGGAGGCAAGCTAGCTCTGAGACAGACACCTCGAATTCAGTCTTGAGGAGCCTAGACTACTTGTAAGATACCCTCAGCCCTACTGCGCCTGCTGCTGTCCTGAATGGCTCTGGCAGGGCTTTCCACAAACCCAGTTCCCAGTAGTACACACAATCCCATTTTAGAACAGTGGCTTAAGAAACTGCAAAGGCAAATGTCCTGACCAAAAGCAACTCCAGAGGGAAGCCTTTATTTACCTTGTGCTTCCAACATCACAGTACATTAAGGATAGAAATCCAGGCAGGAGCTGAAGCAGAGGCCATGGAGGACCGCTGCTTCCTGGCTTGTTCTCCAAGGCTTGCTCAGCCTATTACAACTAAGGACCACCACTGGGGTGTGTGTGGGGTGGGGGAGGGATGGGAAAAAGTGTGGTGAAACCGCCCACTGTGGGCTGAGCCCTTCTACATACAATAATCAAGGAAAGGCCCCCATACCCTCTTGGCCAGGTTCGTCTAATGGGAGAAACAGTCTGATGGGGGCATTACAAAACTCCAGGTTCCCTCTTTCCAGACGACTCTCACTTGGTGGAAACTAACCAGGACAGGAACTCGCAGACTCCAGCTCTCTGCAGGATGATCCTACTGAACCTCCTTCCCAAGCCTTATTTTTCATCTGGAATTCGGTCATTCACAGGACAGCTTTAGCTCCAGCAGGTTTTGCTCACAGGAAACTTGATAAAACTTCTCCAGCACCCTGCGCTTTTATTTACTTACTTTAAAAATTATCTCCACAGCTCCTATTAACTTGAACTGTCATACTTTAATGTGTGTGGTTTATCTTCGCTGAAAGTCTCCTCACTAGTTCATGCTCCGCGGGGTGGCACGCTCTACATTACGACAATCGCTGGAACCCCAGTTAGACCAATGGAAAGAGAACACTGGACAATACGCTGTAATTGCTATACACTTACTTTTAACTGACTGTAAACGTGCTGCAGGAAGGATCCGAACCCGTGTCAGCCCGATCCTTTCCTTCAGAAACGTGACCGCCGGGCTAGCACGGTTCTGCGCTCTGCAGCCATCCGACTCCCGCGTGCGCGCGCGCACCCGAGTCGCGGCCGCCGAGAGTCACGTGGGCCTGGTAGTTACGCGGAGACTTAAGGCTTCGTAGGCACCCACGCGGGCAGAAGCAGGCAGCCAAGGCCGCTGGCTGTGCTACCTGCGCGTTGCGGGGCTCCGCGGCGGCACCGGGAGAAGCTTGGGGGTCAACAGGGACCAGGGACCCGTGGATCTGCTGCTCGACCAGGGTGGGGATCAGGTCACCGGGCTGATCGCCCCAAGACTAACTGGATTTGACCCAGGCTGGGGGCGGAGCCCGGACTGAACTTGACCTTGAGCTCTGGGCTTCCTGCTGTGGGCGGAGCTCTAGGGAGTGGGAGCCGAGCTTTGCCCCACCCCTCTCAGCGACCTAAGACCACGCCTAGTGCCCCGCCCCCGCTCTTCAGGTCCCCAGTAGGTTGTAATCTGTGGCCTTTCTGCTCTGTGTTTGTTTTTTGTTGTTGTTGTTTTGGTTTGGTTTTTTGGGGGTTTTGTATTCCGTTTGTTTCTTTTATCTAATTTTCACTCTGCTTTTTAAAAGCCTGAATTAAAAATACATCAAACAATGTATGAACAGTTCTTAAAGTATAAAATAGCTACTTATAATGAAAGCAACAAGCCCCTCCTTCTCTGCTTCACCACAGCCCTTTTTCATCAGTCCCTTCCTTGGATGGTCACTTTTTGTCGCCAAAAAAAAAAAGAAAAAAAAAAAAAGAAAGGAAGAAAGAAAAAAGAGCTTACATAGCAATTTCTTGATTTATCTATTGACTTTCTGCCATGTTAGATGAGGATTTACTCTCTTCCTGCGCCCCTGCTTCCCTCTTCTGACACATTTACACCTCTATTCTCCAGCTCTGCCCTGGTGAGGATAAAGGTTGTGGGGGGATGGGATTCTGAAGCTGACACAGTTTGGGGGAGGGGAAAATGAGGGTTATTTTAGAAAGAAAATACAATTAGGCCTTTTTAGCGAGTATATTCATTCATACTAAGAAATTGCAACCAAATCCTTGGAGATTTAGGTCCTACTCCCGGAGGTCTTTATGTAATTTAGAACCTTAATTTGCTTCGCTAATGCAGAGTAGTTTCTCAGCCTCCTATATCCCTCTGTATCTGCCCAGCACTCACAAGGAGCTTGCCTGGAGGAGTCTTGAAGATCAAGTTCACCATGGCCTGTCAATCCTAATGGAGTGAGTTGGAATGTGGGGGAAAAAAATCAAGGGTGATGTCAAGGCTTTGTGAATGCTAAACATTTAACCACCCCCCTCCTCCTAGCCACAGTGAGAAATCAACCCCTGGGTGGGGAGTGCTTTGTGAAGCTAGCTCTGGACCCTGTTTCTGTCCTCAGCCCCCCACGATGCTCCCAGGCTCTTAGGAAAGGCCACACCTTTGTCATTTATTAGTATGTGGGCACACAGGTAGCCCCACTAAGTACCCAGGGAAAGGATATCTCCTCACTCAGGTAGTAGACTCCTGTGCCCTTTGGGTTTCTTCTGGGGACTTAGAGTACAATGCAGCTCCATAAAGTGTCCCTGAGCAAGCAGCTTTACCTATTTGGAGTTTTAGTTTCCTTCCCTGTAGTCAGCAGAAACAACCCTCTACCACGCTGGCTTTGGAGGCAGCACAATAGTGTACAGTGTCCTTTGGACAGTTTCTAACTGATGCCAGCAGCGAAGGTGGTTTGTCACAGTTGGGAAGTTTCTGTGAGTATGTGTAGTATACTCTCCTAAAGGTTGGTTTACTTTCATAAATTAATCAAAAGCCAAGTCTTTCTGAGTCAGGACCTGGGGCTATCAAGGCAGAGACTAGACGAAGCCAGCCAGAGGAGAGACTGAACAATGACTTCTCCTGAAGAAGAAGCATCCTACCCTGCATCATTGAAGACTAGGCCTGGCTGAGGAGAAGGCTGGGGAAGAAGCAGTGTGTGCTTTTGGAAGGCAGCACAAACCTCACACAACAGCCAGGCTTTAGCTAACATAGTGGGGAGAGGCAGGCCTGAAAAACCAAGTCTGGACAGAAGCCTACCTGCTTTTGTTCTGAAGGGGAATAACTGGATCCTGGTCACAGCTGGCTACTCCATCATAAGTGTAATGGGATCCTATGGGCAAATTTAATTTCTCTATGACCCTGTTCATTACAGGAAGACATCTAGAGATACCATCCAAGAAAGGCAAAGGATTTGATGGAGAATATGTGCCTGAGTCTCTCCTAAGTAGACTACAGTACACGCAGTTGAGTGAAAGTTTATGCACAAGGTATACGATTGCAGGTAAGGAGAATGGTTTAGTGGATAGGGAACATGCACAGTGGGGAGGCCTTGTACAGCCAGCACTCCTGTGTAACAGGTCATGAGAATCAGTGTCTATTGAAGGAATAGTCTAGAAAGCAGTATGCTGAACATGACCGTGGTTTGGGATTAACCCACCCAAGGAAAATCTGCAGGAGGCGGGTCCCCAAGGAGTAAAAATAAGCTGACAAATTAGCTTGTGTGTTTTGAACAATTCAGAAATCATTTCTAGGCATAAAAGTATGCTTACCTACACAAGATCAACGAATGTATAACCGTACTCTCTGCTTGTGTCTTCTATCAGTTAACTTGTTCTGAGGATGTCTCCCTTTCCGGAAGCACGTTGGACAGCTATCAATGTATAGCTAGCTGAGAGTGATTGTCTTAGGCTGTGTTCTGAGGACCTTCTGAAGAGCTGGTCCTCAGAAGAACTGTGCATGGGACCATTGACTGGCCAACCTCCACATTTAGTGGGGTGATCTTTCTTAACTTGACTTCTAAGTTCTCGTTCAGAAAGAGCAAGCTTTGGTTGAATAAAAAAATAGGATGTGTGAAAAGAGACAGGCGGACTTTAAAAATGACCAAAGATGGCAGGCGTTTTAACCACTGCAAGTGCTTCAGAAGGTGGGCACTCTCTTATAACCAAAGACCAGACAGCACTCATGGCAAGCCTTTTATGGCTACTGAAGCAGGCCTCCACTAGAAAGCCTCTATGTTGAGCAAGAACAATGAGCCTTTTAAACTTCGAATCCCCACCATACAGAAGCCAGACTGGCTTATATCACAATTAGGCTAAAATTCTAAGTCTCTCCCATGGCCTGCATAGGCATCAAAATGCCCCTAAGACTCTCATAAATTATACCATACACATTGACCCGTCCTAATCTACACTCTCCTTGGTTTTGCTGTTCTTTCTCAGGACACTGTTGTAGTTTTAATGCAAAATGTCCCCCATGTGCTAGTGTTTTGGGCACTTGATCCTGACTGTGCATTTTTGGTAGGCTGTGGAAACTTTGGAACATAGTGCTTAGCTGGCTGACATAGGCCACGCCACAAGGGGCAGATGTTGACTATTATAGCACCTGTCTTCTGATTCTCCCTGTTTTCTTGATCTGGCAAGCGGATAACAAGTCATACACCACAAGCCCCCACCACGATCTGCTACAGCCACCATGCTTTCCCTAGTGTGCACACCGTGGCCTCCTCCCCCTGAACTACAAACCAAAGTAGCTCCTTTCTCCCTTAAATTGTTTGAGTCAGGTGTGTAGTCCCAGCAAGGAGAAGAGAAAGTAATACAGGCACGCTGGCTGTCTGCACCAGAGCCTAAACAGCACTTCTCACCCACCCACGGATATGCTCCCCCTACGCTCAAGGCCAGCTGCCCAACTCAGTAGCTTTCCAGTCAGTCTGGCTGGCCTCAGGGAAACACTCCAATACACTACTCCCTTTCATAGTATCTTTAACCCGCCTTTGAGGTACATTTCTACTTTTTAACCTGTCTTTCTCACTTTAGTAAACAGTCAAGAGCGGCTGAGTCTTCTTGATATATTCCCACACCTAAGAAAGTGCTTAGTACACAACAAATATTCGAAAATCATGTGTTAAACAAACGGACAAATACAGAATTGAATTGGGTGGATGACAAGAATATTGTGGATAAACACAAACCCAAAAGTCATTCTAAAATTCAGACTTTCACCTAGCGGAGACCACACTAGAAGAAATTGTTGGAGCACAGGAAGGTGAAGATGAAGAGGCTAAGCTGCATCCCATAATCTGATTCATAATTACAGCTTGAGTTCTTGAGTGAGAATTTTTCCTATTTTAGATTTGACCCCAGTGTCTGTGTTAAATATTTAAGTAAAGGTTAGCTTGAAAGGCTGCATACTCATTTAAAACTAGTAAAAAGAAAAAGAAAAGAAAAAAACAGGTTTCCCTGGTCATTTGAATAATTCAGCATGATGTTCCATGGCTTCTGTTGGTGTTGGCGTGCCTGTGATGGTAACTGGTTACCTGAAAATAGAGGCCTTGATCAAATATTGAAGATCTCACTTCTTTTCATTTTTTGCATGTTTCGTATTCCTGCCCCTCACTTTGTTTTAACTCTGGCAATCATACAATTCACACCAAAGCTAATAGAAGTGTTTCATGGATTATTAAAGGCAGCTAAGCAATGAGCTGTTTCTAGAACATAAGGCCAGACTGAGGCCACTTTGCTGTTCTAACAAATAATTTTTCCTTGATGGTGCAGACTCAGAGTTTACAAACTGCATCTCTTCCCTGCACTCTGAGCTTTTTGTAAGACAGACGCAAGTCAGCTGAGGAGGGGGCCTCCCTTGGACAATGCATGCTTCTTCAGATGTGTCTCCTGGGTCGAACTCAGATGTTTACAATTAAACACAGCCAAAAGGAGAGGGTTGCAAATTAAGGCAGGAAGATACCAGCTAGTGCCTGTTTGCTCCTGGAAACCTTGGGCTGTGGCACAACCCATAACCAAGAAGGTCTCCCTAGGCTTGGCTGTCCTAAAGAATTATAGTGATAGCATCCCATTTCTGAAATTAGCTTTCCTAATGCAGCCTCAGTTGAAACCTGCAATTAGGCTTGGATAGTCATTTGGACCTCCTTGGTACCAAAGTCTTCACCTGTAAGTGATCAAAACTGCAGTCACCATTGAGAAAAGAAGATACTTTGGGACCAATCCATCATTTGGAGATGAACATTAGTGCCCTATGAAAGAAGGTGATTTTTCTCAAGGTCACACACAGGCAGCCAGTAATGGCATGCATGTGTCACTCAGATTTTTGTTTGTGTGTTATAAACAGCAGAAATAGTCCCTTCTCAATGAGTAGAAGGGGCCTTATTGGTATAAATGGTCCTTCAGAACTTACAGGTGGACTGGCTATCTGGGCTAAGAAAGGGATGGGAAGAAGGCAGCTCCAAAAGCTAGGATGTGAACCTTTAGAAAACGAGCCCTAAGTGGAAATGGCCTAATTGGAATGCACTGCAAGGCTAGATGATTAAACTCCAGATGCTT